AGAATTCAGCTCCCTGAAGCTGGGAGGTGGCTACAAGTGACTTGGGTCCTGAGTCTCTCACTAATAACCCACCAAACACTCTTGTTCCCCAAATCTCCCACAGACTGTCTCTCTTATTGTTGAGACAAGGACTCCAGGAGGGTTGGCCCTCTGCTGGGAAAGGATTCTCCAGCGTCCCATGACTGTTGTCCCTAGTGCCAGGCTGACAGCTGTGTTCTGTGTCAGTATCTAGGGCTGCCATAGCCAGGTCACCGTCCTCGAGCAGCCGGATCCATTCTGTTAACGTCCTGCAGGCTGGTGTGTGCCCTCCTTCTCCTGCACAGGCGGGCTTCTCTCTCTCTTCCAGGTCCAGATGCATGTGTGCTGCCTTGTTTCTTGCATCACAGCTACTCGGCTTCCAGTTCTGTCACCACATGACTTCTGCCTTTTCATTGGTCACCTTTTTTTTTTTTTTTTTTTTTTTTTACCAAGGCACTCTCATTCTGGCTTTAGGGTTTACCCTGATTCACCCACAGGTCTTCCTCTTCATCTATTTTTCTTCTGCTGCTTTTTCTTCTTCTGCTTTCTTCTTCTTCTTCTTCTTCTTCTTCTTCTTCTTCTTCTTCTTCCTCTTCCTCTTCCTCTTCCTCTTCCTCTTCCTCTTCCTCTTCTTCTTCTTCCTCCTCCTCCTTCTCTTTCTCCTCCTCCTTCTCCTCCTCCTCCTTCTTCTTCTTTCTCCTTCCCCTCCTCCTTCTCCTTCTTTTTGTGTGTATCCCCCGTTATTTGTCCACTTATGAACATATATTTGTAGCCTCAAAGTCAGCACATACCATCATTTGCAGGTGTACAAAGAGCAGAGAGAGCATTGAGTTGCCCAAAGTACACATTCCTAGCTGAGCTTGTGTGAGGTGGCCCTCTGTCTTCTGCTCCAGCCCTAGCTCACAGGGTCCTTTGAGGTTCAGTTAATACCATGTGGTTATGTTTTGTATTTTTCCACCCTGTGCCTCTGGCTGATGTTCGGGCTGTGTGCAATGGCCCCGGGTGCATAGCTGAAGTGCTATCCAATGCCCACGAGTGCGTGACTGCCGTGCATTATGGAGAAAACACAATACAGTCATGGTATCCAAGATCAAGTCCTGACCCTCTCCAACTGGGCACTTATTTCTATACTATATGCCTATTGGTGCTTGTTGCATGGGGTTGTAAGGTGATTAAATAAGAAAATATGTGGAAGTTGTGTTCTCAAAACAGCGAGTTTGCAATCAAAGTGAAGTTGAACAGTAGTAGCATATTCTTTTGAAAAAATTATTTGTATTTCTGTGTGTGTGTGTGTGTGTGTGCGTGTGTGTGTGCATACAGGCATATGTGTTCACGTGAGTATAGCACCTGAGGAGGCCAGAGATGGGGCAGGTGGTTGTGAACCACCAACATGGGTATGCAGTTCTCTGCAAGAGCAGCAAGTGCTCTTAACTCCTGAGCTGCCTCTCTGAACACACGCAGAATGTTAAGGTTGGGAGTGTGAAATGTCTCCTACGGTCTCCTGGGCTTGGACCCTGGCTGGTGGCACTCTTTCTGGGGTTGTGTGTCTTTAAGTCTGTGGTCTAGCCAGCAGAAGTGGATCACTGGGTGTAGGCCTTGAAGGTGACATTCTTGGTTTACCAAGATATGGATAAACCACTTCGGAAACACCTACCACAGATACAACCTCCACTGCCACAGATGGAACCTCCTCAGGTGCCCTCCCACCAGACTGGGTGGATACCCCTAAAACTGTGAGTCTATAGAAACCCTTCTTTTCTAACCTTTTTTTTCCATCAGGTCTTCTGTCATAACGGAGAGATAAGTAGCCAACACCAGCTTTCTCTTCACATTGCTGTGTTTCTCCTAATGTTCTTTCCTTTTTTTTTATATATGGTTCTTCTAAGACTCCTATGAGATATAGGCTAGAGAGATAGATCAGTGGTTAAGACCTGGGTTTGGGTGCCAGCACTTACCTGGTGGTTCACAACTAACTGTAACTAACAGTTCCAGGGCATCTAATGCTCTCTTTTGAACTCTGCAGGCACCAGAGATGCACATGGTACCCATACCATACACATATGCAGGCAAAACACTCATACATGTAAAAATAAAAAAAACCAAAAACAAGTAAGGAATCTTACTTAAGAGAAAGGCAGGATGACACTTAACTATAGAGGCAATTTACTCTGCAGATTCTAAATTTCTGGATTCACATCCTGAAATTAAAAAAAAAAAAATTTCTAAAACCCCTCTAGAGGAACCAAAGGAGGCTGCAACTAATTCACAGTCAATCCTTTCCTGCCAAGGCTCCCTCGACCCCCACTTTCTACCTAATTTTAGTAGAGTTGCTTCTGTGGTAGAGGTAATTAGGAATGCCTCCTTAGAGACGCATCAGCGTTAAGTGAAGAGGCTTTAATGGCAGCAGCAAGGGGCAGCGTACAATGAGAGAGAAGGCAGGCAAGGCTTCAGGAAGAAGACAAAGTAGCGCAATGGTCACTGTGGGCCTTCCCTTGGTGGGTGTATCTGGCTGCGCGCTGGTCTCTAGACAGAAAGATTTCACTCCATGGTTATTTTGTAATGATTTGGGGGCAGAGTAGATACATTTAGGCTGACGCACTGGGTTCGAAACCCACTCTACACAGCTCTGTGCTCTAAGTAAACTCACTTCAGCAGCACCCAAGATTCTCCTTGCACAGAACAGCATCTGTGAGACAGAACTGAGGGAATAGAGGAGATGCAGCATCTACCACTGTGCATCACTGTGCAAGCAACTACCAATGCGTCATCACTGTGCCTGGCACTAGGAGTTTACAGAGTTGTGTCATGATTTTTCAGAGCAGTTCATACATGTTGTCTTACTTATTCCTCACCATAACCTTCCATTCATTCATCTAGCCTCCTCCATTCATCCATCCATTCATCTGTCCTTATCTATCCACCATTCTTATCCATCCATCCAGCCAGCCAGCCAGCCAGCCATTCAACCATCCATCCACCCATCCATCCATCCATCCATCCAGCCAGCCAGCCAGCCAGCCAGCCATCCATTCAACCATCCATCCACCCATCCATCCATCCATCCATCCAGCCAGCCAGCCAGCCATTCAACCATCCATCCACCCATCCACCAATCCATCCATCCATCTATCCATCCACCTATCTATCCTGTGATTGACCTTGAATTGTTATACAGGAATGAGCAACCGTTCTAAAACTTGTCCACCCATAAGAGCTTCGAGACAGCTTGGAGACACAGACAAGAGATGTAACAACCAAATAACTATTTATAAAAGCAGGTTTGAGATGTAAACAAACAGGAAGCAGTGAAAGGACCATCAGGAAACCTGTGAATGGTTAGCTTCATCTGTCAACTTGATACAAATCTAGAGTCATCTGGAAAGAGTGAACCTCCACTGAAGAACTGCCGTGATCAGATTATCTGTGAGGCATTTTCTTCATTGTTAATTATTGAAGGTGGGTCTAGTCCATGGTGGGTGGGCAGTGCCATCCCTAGGTGGGTGGACATGGACTGCACAAGAAAGCAGGCTGGACAAGCTATGGGAAGCCAATCATTAAACGGCACGCCTCTATGGCATCTGCTTCAGTACCTGGCTCCCAGCTTCTGCCTTGTTCACCTGTCCTGGCTTCTCCAAATGTAGACTGCAGCCTGTGAGCAGAGGTTAACACTTTGCTCCCTAAATTGTTTTGGGTTGTAGTGTTTATCACAGCAATAGAAAGCGAACTATAATAAAGGTTTAATCAAAAATGGTTGGCTTTCTGATCATGAAGGGGCATCTGTGGGTGGGTTGACGATATGGACATTTCAGGCAGGGGAAGTTACGTAAGGCCCAACAGTAAGTGGCTTGGATCTTCTAGCCATACCTGTCCACTCATTCAGAATTTCTAGAAGCACAGCTATCTGGGAGAGTTTGGCTTCCTGTGTCTCTGAAGGGTTTCAGTATGAGTTCAAGGTCACTCGATATTTGACCCTTGTCCAAATCCCAGAAGGTCATCATGCTCCCTGACTAAGCCACTTCCAGGAGCTCAGTAGTGACCAATGATGGCTTTCAGATGTCTGTGCAAGATGAAAAGATGTCTATTGCCATGTTCAGAAAAAAAAATGATTTTTGGTACCAAGTCTGAATTATCACCTGAGAGAAATGAGTTCCCCTTCCTTGATAGGTTCAGGGCATGGTATGTTGTTTGTCTCAGTAAACAGCTGAGACCAAGAGAATAAAGAAACAGAGAAACTTGGTCTGGCCCTATGGAAGGTTTAGGATGGGAACGGGCATCGTTCTCAGGTATTTCGTCCGCAAAGTTTGGTACACTGGAATCTTGGTCCTCAGTGTGGTCACGTCGGGAGGTAGCAGTTCCTTTAAGAAGAGGGCCTGGTGTAAAGCAATTAGATCATTAGCAATGCTATCTCTGGAAGGAGTTTGCACAGTTGATTCACTGTAGAGGGCTGTTCTGAAAGAACAAGGCTGTGTCTCACTGTGCAATCACTCCCTCACTTGTACAATTGCTGTGAAATCATGAGGCCTTCAATCCAGGCCAAAGCATTGGGACTGCCCCGTGTTGGACTATCAGCCTCTAAGCTGGAAGCTAAATAAACACTTTCACGCAATCATTACCTAACCTGAAATATTTTTATAGCAATGGAAAACTGAAGAAGACAGAATCTGACCATATCCTCTTGGCCACCTGCCCAGCATTTTCCTCTCCATCAAGCAAGCCACAGCTCACCTGCCCCATATTCTTGGAAATCCTAGAAGGCCAGCCTGCCGTAGCCCTGGTCAGCGTAGCTTTGCCACACATCCGTTTGCTGGATTTCTGAGCTTGACCAACCAGGGCACGTTGGTGTTATGTTACAAAGTCCGGCAGCCTGTACTCACGCCTTGCCAACTGCCCGTTGACCTTTGCCGTGGCTGGCCATCTTGTGGTTTCTGACTTTTCACCAAATTTGTCCAGAACAATTTGTACTTTGGCCATTAATCTATAACCCAGTGTCTCCTGCTGATTTGGGGGAACACAATCAAATCTGCTGTCTGTGCAAAACCATAATGGCAAAGCCACATATGACCAAGGTATGGATGGCAACTGTGCATGGTGACTCCCCTGAGACCCTGGTCTCCCCAACAAAGAAGCCAGTAAGGACAAAGGTGCAGAGAAGGAGCTGTGGTAATGTGTTAATTAAATCAACCGAGCAGTTCTGGGAGCAAGTCTGCTAAGCTTCATGCGCCTCTGACGGGTCTGGCTGAGTTTGAGCACAGACTCCCTTAGGTTTCCTGGTGGCTCTTCCATAGGCTTGACATACCTTGGCCTAGTCATTGTCCTGTGCCAATAGCTGCCCAGGGCTCCCCATCACAGGTCCAGGCTCCACTTCTATCTTCTCTGAGGAGGGGCTCACATTCTAGAGGGCACAAGGGAGATGATGGTGGCATGAGCCCTCTGTAGGCACAGATTGCATGGCACTGGGTCAGGGGCAGTGTGACAGGTAAGACAGCACTAAACCGAGGTGAACACTGGGCTGCCGGTTGGGTCTGCTCATGGTGGTTTATGGAACTGTCCTGGGGGGAGCACTCCCACAGCTGGGTAGAGCTCTTGAACTGGGCTTCTCATGCCTCAGTTTCCCTAGCTACAAAGTAAAGGGCCTAGCGGCACTTACTGCTTAGGGCACCTGTGAGGGTGAAATAAAACAGTGCTTTTTAGGGAGTGTAGTGTGTTGGAAGCAAAAAGCAGTGAAGATTATCAACATGGCAGGCTCTCCAACCACTTGGCAAATTTTTTTTTTAAGTCTCCTTTTTGTAAGAGAAAATCTGACAGAAACAATGTAAAGGAAGTTTTGTTTCAGCTCACAGTTCAGGGGATCTAACTCATCAGGCCACGGCAGGCTTGATGACCCTGGAGGCTTGTGACTGACACAGTAGGAACACACCATTGGTAGTCCTAAGACATCAGGCTGAGAGCTGAGCTGGCCTAGAACCCTCACCCCATGTCCAGAAGGTTCCACAACCTCCTGAAATCTTGCCATCAGGTGGAGAGCACATGTTCAAACACATGGTCACGTGGAAGGTGAGGAACTTCATATTCAAGTCATAACATCCGGTCCTCAGCCCTGGCCTTGAAAGAGGCAATGGATGAAGTCTAGTAGAGACGGACGGGGAGGACTGCCTGGCCCCATGGCTGACCAAGATCATGACCATGGAAACACAGAACTACCTGGGAGACACAGAGACTGAATCTAACGACAACTCTACACTCATGGTATGAGGTAAGGCATGACAGTTCAAGTCTATGACAATAATGACTCCTGGCAAAGTCTGTTGACACCTATCCTGTGTTCCCAAGGCCTCTGTGAGTGTCCCCATGGATTTATGAGACAGGTTCTTTAAGGAAGATGGTATTCCACCCCGAACACTTCTTTGTCTCACAGGGAGCTTGCTTAAGGATGCCGCCAGGTTTGCTAGGGGCTGACTTCAGCAGTCAGTGGACAGTCTCTGTGTTCCAAAGGAATGAGTCACATGCCTTCATGGTCCCAGAGCTGCCTATATGGTTAAGTCTAGAAGCCCTGGCTTTACCAGATCGCTGACAAGCCATGCCTTTGTTGTCTTGGTGTCTTGCCACACTTAAAATTTTTAGGTCACCTCCCTCATACGAGCAACCTTTAGAGAAACCTAACAGGACACTGATCCTAATGTCTGTCCTAGTTATCTGGGTTCCAGGGCCCCTTCCCTCACATCTCCACTCAGGACTCTCAATGAGCTCACCTTGGAAGTGGCAGCTGGATCAGAGCCAGTGTCATGCCAGCTTCCCTCTGGAGAGACCCACCCCTGAGCATCAGCCTGGAACAGGTCCTGCCTTAGCTTTTCCCTCTGCACAGGCTGTGACTGTGTCCCAGCTGTGACCTTGACTGCATCTGGAATCGACTCAAGCTTTAAGCTGCTGGTCACTTCTGTGAGGGATTTTCTTGTTCAGATGGTTTGTAGCAGGGAGACCCATTCTAAATCTGGGCTGCACACTCTGTTGCCAGCTTCGATACAAGGGTGCGAAGGAGGAGACTTTGATTTCAGCCTGTTTGCCTTCACTCCTGCTGTCAAGTTCACCTCTCCTGTTGCTGTGGCATTCTTTTATTGATATGAAAACCACTCCGTTGCGATTCCAATGTAGACCGAAGACCACCAGCTCTCTAGGATTCTTCAGGCTTTCAGCACCAGATTGAAACTGCTGAGACAGCTAGCCTTGAGCTGAACAATTACATTCTCCGCTTTTCTAGCATGAGACAGCCATTGTTGGACTTCCCAGCCTTCGTCCTGTAAACCATATACGAGTGTGTGTGTGTGTGTGTGTGTGTGTGTGTGTGTGTGTGTGTGTGATATGTCTTTATTCTATTGGTTCCATCCCTTTAGAGAGCCCTGACTAACACACAGGCACACGGTTTCTGAAGTTCGAGTTCCCCAGCACACTGAGTTGCTCCTTTGGCGGACAGGGAGCATTACAAGGCGCAGGGGCTGCCTTCAGCCCAGCATCTCCTCCTCATACTCACTGATCACAGTGTTCAGGTGTCATGGTATTTACCAAAGGTTTGCAGAGAAAGTCATTACGCTGCCAGCAGCTGCAAGTCTGTTCTTAAGGACAGCAAAGCCGGTGGGTGCCTTCTTTCCACTCTGAAATTCTGTGACCTGATCTGATCTGGATTGTGAGTTGAGAGATACAGTGTTGTAACTGGTATAACACACCCCTGCGTGTCAGCCTGGGCGTTTCTGAGGGCTCTGACCCAATCAATGGCTTAATCCATTAGCGGATTCAAACTGTGAGTAGACCGTTGTGGTGGGGATGGGGGTGGAGGGCAGTGATACAGGAAGGTGGGGACGACTTGGAGGAAGTGGCTCCCTAGAGCTTGTCTTACTGACTGTGTCCTGCCCTGGGTCCTTCTTGTCTTACACCACTCCCGTGTGGCTGCCCAGAGTAGACTCTACTACATTGCGTCTTTCTGCCTGAGCAAGGAACCTTTGGAAACCATGGGCAAAAGAGGTCCCTTAGGTTTGGTCAAAGATGATTGACAGAGTGTCCATATCACGTGGTCATCTCCATGGACCAGAGATGGGAGGGCAAGTCCAGGAAGAGAGGGACAGGGCCTGGGAGTCGAGTCAACTAGACACATGAGTCCTGGTCGACCTTGCAGCCCAAGGAGACAGGAGTAAGCTAATTCCACGGAGGTGGAGAAAATAAACCAGGGCAATGTGAGAACGTGATCTGGAGGGTACGGGGACTTGGATTATCTCGGGTTGGACAGGACCATTTGAGGAGGGTCCTTGAGCTAAGACTGTGCAGACATCTTGAGTAAAGTTCCAGGTCAAAGACTGGGCTGGGCACAGGGGCCCTCAGTATCTGCAGAGTAGGGCTGAGGTCTGGAGTAGGGCTCATGGCAAGAAATTTGGCTTGGGGAGGGCAGCTGGCGGCGTAGGGATGGCAGAGTTTCATCAAGAGTAGGACGTCTATCCCTGCAGCAGGGGGAGGGGTGTGGTTCAAGAAGAGGATGACTGGCTCTGATTGGCGGCTTTTAGTTTCTTTTAAAGATTTATTTGTAAATTACGTGTAAGCATGCTTGTCTCTGTGTGGATTGATGCGCATGCGTGCAGGCGTGAGGCGGTCAGCAGAGGGCATCCGATCCGCTGACGTTAGAATTACAGGCGTTTGTGAGCTGCCAGATGTGGGTGCTGGGAAGCAAACTTAGGGCCTCTGCAAGAGCAGTAAGTGCTCTTAACTACTGAGCCATCTTTCCGGCCCCCTGGTTTGCGCTTTTTCTTCTTTTGCTTAAAAGTCAAGGTGGCAAACTCTAATGGCACAGGACTGTAATCCAACTATGCAGGAATGGGAAATAGGTGAGCTGCAAACTCAAGGACAGCCCAGACTTCAGAGCAAGTTCAAGGCCAGCGAAGGAGGATAGTGAGACCCTCTCTTAAACTAAATTTTTAAAAGGGGCGTGGGCTGCGGCAGCAGCTGAGTGGTGGAGTGTCTCCCCAGTGTGTGTGCTTTCCATCCTCAGTACTGGGAAAAGAAAAAAAAGAGCTACAAAATGTATTCGGGGACATGTAAATGCACATGTCTTAGTAGATAGACATCTTGAAGAGTAATCACACACATATACACGACTGGTATCAGGTCAACATATAGGACATTTCCAACATCTAGGTACTAAGGTTTCTAGCAGCGCCCCCTGGCTGTGCTGAGGAGAAACATCATGGGACTGAGGCCTGGACAGGAGATTGCCCATGGCTGGGCTTGACTATGGTGAGGCCTGGACAGGAGGCCACCCATGGTTGGGCTTGACTATGGTGAGGCCTGGACAGGAGGCCACCCATGGTTGGGCTTGACTATGGTGAGGCCTGGACAGGAGACCGCCCATGGCTGGGCTTGACAATGGTGACTTTCTGGCTTGAGAGACTGTCTGCTGAGAGCCAGTCAGAGTTGCTGATGTGCAAAGATGGGTGAGATCAAAGAATTCTGCATGGTCTGGGCTTTAAAAATGGGGTGGGCTGCTCGCCGTGGGTGAGGACGTAGATTAGCCCAACCCTTAGAGAACAATGCAGAGGGTCCCGAGCAAATGGCATGACCTCGCATTGCCACTCCTAGGTTGGCGCTGAGCTGACAGACCTTGGTAGGCTGTTGTGGAGAATTCGCTGTGGCTAAGACACAAGTCAAGACTGGCATCCATCAGCAAGTGAATGGATTAAGAGAAAGTTGTCCCTATGAGCAGCAGGACACTAGCCAGACTTAAAAGGTAATGCTCTCATTTGCAACATCAGTGCCTGACAGACATTAAGCTAAGTGAAGCAAACCACTTGACTCTAGAATCTGAAAGAGTCACACTCATGCAGACAGCAGGGCTGGTGACGCTCAGAGGCCCGAACATGAGGAAATGTCAGGAACTCTGGCCAAAGGATAGAAAATTTCAGTTGGACTAGGGGAGTACATTCAAGGGATGCCTTGTAGGACATGGCAATTAGTTAATGGCAAGGTATTCTGTATCTGAAAATGGCTAAATGAATAATAATAATAATAATCAGCATTCTCAACAGGTGAACACATGTAAACACACACACAGACACACGTGAAGTAACACATATGTCATATAGCTCCACTAAATTCTCCCATGGTGTGTGTGTGTGTGTGTGTGTGTGTGTGTGTGTGTGTGTGCTTATACCCAAGTATCATGTTCTATGCCATGAATATGCATATTTTTTACTGTCAATTTAAAAACTAATAAAATAGCCAGGCAGTGTTGATGCATGTCTTTAATTCCAGCACTTGGGAGGCAGAGGCAGAAGGATCTCTGAGTTTGAGGCCAGCCTGGTCTACAGAGGTGAGTTCCAGAACAGCCAAGGCTACACAGAGAAACTATGTCTGGAAAAATCAGAGAGACAAAAAAAGGAAGAAAGAAAATTGTTCCTCAAAATATAAAAATAGAGCACATTAGCAAGGTGGACTGGGGGTTATGAGTCAGGGAAAGCAAGGAGTGCTGGGAATAGGCCAGGCCATGAGTGGATGACCCACTGGAGTGATCCCTGGAGCTGGTTACTGCCAGGAGGCAGATGCTCCCTTCTTGCCCAGTGCCAGCCTCAGAGAAGAGCCCCAGGAGAGTGTCACTGACAGACTAAAGGCCACAGGAACATAGGTCTGAGCAGCCTGGGTGCCATGGAGGGAGGGAAGAGTGACTGGAGTGGATGCCATCCCTCCCCCCCCCCGGTTGCCCCTTGAGAAACCAGGGTCAAGGAAGGGGAGGAGAGTTGGCCAAGCAGTGGGAGGTGATGTCTGTCCCTCATCAGAAGCCACCTGCTCAGCAAGGCAAGCAATCCCCTCTGTCAGAGGGGGCAAGGAAAAATGACTGTGACTGCCCTGCCACCTAACCAGGGAGAGGGGTCCTTAGACCTGTGAGCTAATACCTCTGATGATGTATGGCCCAGAAAGGGTTGCGTTAATGATCTTCCGCAGGACCCAGGAGTAAACCCCAGTAATTTCATAATACAGCCTGTGATGGATTAAGGCGTGTTAATACCAGGAGTATACATTAAGGGAAATGATCTCGCTGGCATACTAAATGGCAAAATAAAAGCACTTTTAGAAACTTCCATGATTAATTGGTCTGCCCTTTCAGTTCTGTACCATGATAAAGTAAAGCCACTTCTCCTGGTCACCTCCCAGGCAATCCCTCTAAAGAGCTGCAGCCCTCTGAGAGGCTCTTGGGGTGCTGCCCAGGACCTAGAACCCAAACTGGCAGCCTGGAATGCAATCTCACCTGACCTCATGGATTCCAGCTGTCACTGTCATCTTTGTGCCTCTTAAGAGAGCCTCCCAAGCACCTACCCTTATGAAACTGCTTGTGCAACATAAGATTCAGTAGAGATCACAGCATTGCTTGAGATAGGGATACAGAGGTAGCCCTTGGCAAACGGGCTCTAGAGGAAGTGGTCAAGTAGGGTCTCAGCCCAGTTCCTTACCAGCTGTCTGACCTTGGAACAAGTTATAGACCCTCTTTATCCTCAGTTTCTCTATAGAACTGAAGATAATGAAAAACCTCTCTTGTGAGCTTACAGAGATGCAAGGAGATTTGCTTAACAAGGGCTCATGGCACAGCGGGCATTCACCATGTATCATCAGGCCCTGTGGATGCACGCTCAGGACTTAGCTCAGTACCAGCCACATAGTAAGTACATGTTCGCTCCCGGGGAGCAAGCTGTATCCATTTTGCTCAGCAGCCCAGAAAGGAAGCCACCATTGTTCTCATTTCACAGGTAGGTAAAACTGAGGCAGAGGCATTAGTAAGTTGCTGAAGCTCCTATTAAGAGGCCCCTGAGGTCCTAAAAGCAAGTGGGATTCCTTTGACTCTCAAGCCTGTGGGATGGGAAGGGAAAGAAAGCAAAACACTGTTTGCCCTAAAAAACAGATGATGCCAGGTGGTAGTGGAACACACCTTTAATCCCAGCACTCAGGAAGAAGAGGCAGGTGGATCTCTGTGAGTTCGAGGCCAGCCTGGCTTACAGAGTTAGCTCCAAGACAGCTAAGACTATTACACAGGGAAACTCTGTCTCAAAAAACAAAAACACAACAACAAAACATGGATGATGGGATGAATATGATGGTTGGGAAGAAATGGTTGTTCAGAGGTGTAAGAAGATTCTAGAACTGGATGTGTCCTAGGACCAGAGTCCAACCCCTCCCTTATTTACTGAGTCACAGCTAAGTTGCCAGCCCTACTCTCCTTTCACATCCCAGGCTTGGGAAAAAGAAAATGGCAAAGACAAAGCAAGAATGTGCTTTATAGCCACGCTGGAAAGAACACCTGCCTGGCGGGGCTTCTAGCACCCTCTTCTGTTACAGGGGAGTTCAATCCTGAGCAGCTGCAGCCCTAGAAAACAGAGGGCTCTGGCCAATTTCACCCTCCTGGATTCTCAGGCTCCTGGACCAGCATCTGCAGGTGACTTGCTGTAGATGACCTCATCGGTTATGACAGAGGGTGGGGCCAGGTAGCTCCAACTCCACCCTGGAAAGGACTTGCATCTTGCAGAATTCTTTAGCTTCTAGGGTGGTTTGCATGAAAATGGCTCCTATAGGCCAGGCCCATAGAGAGCGGCACTATTAGGAAGTGTGGCCTTGTCGGAGGAAGTGTGGCCTTGTTGGAGGAAGTGTGTTACTGGGGGTGGGCTTTGAGGTTTCAGATGCTCAAGCCAGGCCCAGTGTATCTTCCTGTTGCCTGCTGATCCAGATGTAGAACTCTCAGTTCCTTCTCCAGTACTATGTCTGCCTACATGCTCCCATGCTTCCCACCATGATGATAATGGACCTCTGATCTGCAAGCCAACCTCAATTAAATGTTTTCCTTTATAAGAGTTACTGTGGTCAGGGTGTTTCTTCACATCAATAACAACCCTTTTAGGACAGCCTCCTTTCCTTTCATTCATGCAAACCGTACTTCCTGATTAACATGCCTGCCTAGACCAGCTGTAAAAAAAACAAAAATAATATTAGGATAGAGTATGGTACTCATGAAGCTTAGACTTGAGGGGTAGTCAAGAGGAATGGGCCATTCACGTCCAGGGTTATCAGTAGAATATGGGAGCATACTTCCACTTCCTGGAAATACCCAGGGAAAGACAAATCCCATGGGCCACCCAGGGCTGAACAAGTAGAGTCAGTGAGAGGCACTGAAGGAAGTGGTGAGAGCTAAGGCGCCCAGAAAAACACACCCGAGTTCATAGGGAGTGGCGTATGCCCAGCCCTGGTCAGTGGTGTCCACGGGGAACGTGAGCCCAGTGGGCCATCCTGCTTTACTGGAATTTGGACATTCTTTTTCTTTTTGCCCTGCTTTTAAAATACTAACAAATTCTTCAAAAACAGTTTTCAGGGCTGGAGAGGTGGCTCAGAGGTTAAGAGCACTGCCTGCTCTTCCAAAGGTCCTGAGTTCAATTCCCAGCAACCACATGGTGGCTCACAACCATCTGTAATGGGGTCTGGTGCCCTCTTCTGGCTTGCAGGCATACATTCAAACAGAATACTGAGAATACTGTATACATAATAAATAAATAAATAATCTAAAACAAAACAAAACAAAAAACAGTTTTCACACCATGAAGGCGACATGAAATCCATCTGTTAAGTCAGGTCTGGCCCACAGCCTAGCAGTCAGCCACATCTGGTGCAGGCATCTCTGTTGATCGCTGCTGCCAGCCGAGAGCATAGCCCGGGGTGACACTCTCCACTGGGTCTAATGGTTTCTCAGAGAAGACCTCATTTGGTACATAGGATAGCCCTTGGAGAAGGAGGTCACCAGCTGTTCCCTCATGATCTAAGTGAACATGATCTAAGGCAGACATTGGCATGAGAGTATCCTAGGCTTGATCGGTCATTTCCACTGCAACAATGCCTCTCAGTGCACTGACAAGGACAGGCCATGGGGAATCCCAAAGCATCCTTCTCTGTCCAGTGTTTCTGTACTGAGGGAAAAAAGAATGAAAGAGGGAGGGAGGAAGGGAAGGAGAAAGGGAAAGAGAGAGAAAGGGAG